TTCAAGTGTACAGAAAATACTTGTTTTCTTTTGATTGATAAGGCATAAGAAGAATACAGAACGGTAGAAAGTGAGCAAAGAACAACACATTTCTTTTTACTTTTCTTTGCTGTAACATACTGATCATTCTTCATCAAGAACAAGAAAAAAATATATTGTATTTTAATGTTAAAAGAAAAAAAACAACAAATAATCAAAATGATATATTTTTCAATTGAACAACGAATAAATAGCATGCTTAGATACTAAATTTTATATTTCCTGCACTATTTCTGCAATCGAAGAGACAAAATATCAAAGTGTCTTTTGCAATAAGGAACAACTCGGACTTATGTCCTCGCATTTTATTATAATCCTGATTGACTCGGAACTCCGCGATTCCATCAACCTGTAAATTATTTTAAAAAAAATTAGAACAATGGTTTTCATTATTAACAGTTTAGTTTTTAAGGAAACTCATTTACACCCCTATCCTTAGTACATTTTCAACAGCTACAATTCTTCCCGTATTAAGTTTGACTTTATTTTGGAAAACAATGTTTGCTTATTGAATCATATATCGTTAATTAATTGTTTTCATACCTTATAAAACATCCAAAAAGGTCAAACTGAAAACTGTTGCAGACTCAATTTGATTGATCACGTTCATGGATGGTAGATGTAAGTGTAGGCTATTACCGCCCCCCCCCCTGCACCGGTTTAAGCAGAATTAAAAAATGATGACAATTAGGAACATCCGGAATTCCTAATCAGTATTAACTAATATTTCACATTATTCAAATATTTTTGAAAGTTATAACTCATTTCGTATCGTTATCGGACATACAACTGTTTAAATACAGACGAGGAAGGATTTATTACAAATAAAATGCATTTCTGATAAACGAACATTTTTGATTAATGTACAAGATTAACCGGTATGATAGAATGTTTCATGTCTTTTGTGCTTTGCATTGATGATATGATCTAAATGTTATCTGTAAGAACAGACTTATACATGTATATTAGTTTAAACACCATTCATTTCTTGTTAATTCAGCTGAAATATTACCAAGCAACTGTGTAGCCATTATATGATTGAGAAGTCAATTTTCAGGTCAAAAATTTTTAGATCTATTAACTGAATCACATATTTATGTCCATGTTCAATATCTCTAAGGACGAATGGATCATCAGTTGTTATCATGAAAATGAAAATCATTTATCGGAATATAGCTTCAGACTATCCCAAATATCGCTCAGCAATCACTATCAAAAACCGGAATAAGTAAAATTTAATTCTAACCCAAATCAAATATACGTATATCTGAGAAGCTTGACTTTTTTTTAAAGAGATCATATTTTGCTCAAAGATGAAAGTCTCCAGATGAGTTAATCTATTTCAAGAATGTGTCTTATTGAACAAAAGAATAAACAAATATGTATGAGAATATGCGTTCCCTATTACAGGTCAAGTAAAGTTGGTCTTCTTAAAAATAATAATGCCAGTTTCTTTTTTAACGACACTGTTTTCAAATTGTGACCACCTAAAGTGTCTAGAATTTTAAACATATCTTTGTATGAAGTCAAAATATCCTTATACGATTTGAAAGGGCCAGAAAGAAATCATTTCTAGAAAGTAAATTATCAATTCTGAAATACAGTCAAGAAAATGTGTATGAAAATTCTAAAGCTGATTGAAAAAAAAATGAAACATATTTCAATTGAGAATAAAGCCAATCATATGTTGTTAAAAATTTATGATTTACCAAAAATTATGAGTGTATTTCATACTAAACTTAATAATAGCAAAACATAACTAAACCCTCATTTTATATCTTTATTTCCATAAAGCGTGTTACAAATGAGCAGTTTTTTAACTTGACAATATCTATTAAAAAAATTACATGCATTCAAACATTGCAGAATTACGCCCCTTTTCTACGTTCCTTTTACTTAAAGATCCTGTATGTTTTGTGATTGATCTTGCTACTGTGTGTGTACCACACTTGCAAAAAATTATATATGTAAATAATTATGCAAATAAAACAATTGTCAAACATTGAAGAATATGTAAAATTTGTACTCCAAATATTTGTACACATTATATTTAATTAATAAGTTATATGCATTCCTTTCTTATTGGAAAATTTGACTTAGAATTTATAGAAAATCAATTTCTAATTACCTCTCTTTACATGAAATGTTAAATTCGGTAATATCTTTATAAATAATGCTTATTGGAACTTACAATATTGACAAATCTTAATTTGAGCATCATATTTATAAAATAAAACCATGAAAAAACCGTGTTACAGGATCTTTAAATATTAAGCACTGAGATAAGTACAATAAGCTGCCCGCGAACACAGGCCTTGTCGAATGAAATTTTCACTTTTTCACCATCCGGATTCATTTATTGATAAAACCTATACATGTACATGTCTTTAAATAATTGAGCTGTTTTAAAGATACCAACGGTAGAAAATGAAAAAGTTTTCTCATTACAAGTCAAAGAGAAATATACATGTAATGACTGAAAAATGAATGAACAAAGGCTCGGTCATACAAGTTAAAATTTTACAATGATATAAACTAACATTATAATTTAGTCATACAGCTTATATTGTACAATGATACAAACTAGCATTATAATTTAGTCATACAGCTTATAATTTTACAATGATATAAACTAACATTATAATTTAGTCATACAGCTTATAATTGTACAATGATACAAACTAACATTATAATTTAGTCATACAGCTTATAATTTTACAATGATATAAACTAACATTATAATTTAGTCATACAGCTTATAATTTTACAATAATACAAACTAACATTATAATTTAGTCATACAGCTTATAATTTTACAATAATATAAACTAACATTATAATTTAGTCATGAAGCTTATATTGTACAATGATACAAACTAGCATTATAATTTAGTCATACAGCTTATAATTGTACAATAATACAAACTAACATTTTAATTTAGTCATACAGCTTATAATTTTACATTGATACAAACTAACATTATAATTTAGTCATACAGCTTATAATTTTACATTGATACAAACTAACATATCTTACAAACTAACATTATAATTTAGTCATACAGCTTATAATTGTACAATAATACAAACTAACATTATAATTTAGTCATACAGCTTATAATTTACATTGATACAAACTAACATTATAATTTAGTCATACAGCTTATAATTTTACATTGATACAAACTAACATTATAATTTAGTCATACAGCTTATAATTTTACAATGATATAAACTAACATTATAATTTAGTCATACAGGTTATAATTGTACAATAATATAAACTAACATTATAATTTAATCATACAGCTTATAATTTTACATTGATACAAACTAACATTATAATTTAGTCATACAGCTCAAAATTGTACAATGATACAAACTAACATTATAATTTAGTCATACAGCTTATAATTTTACATTGATACAAACTAGCATTATAATTTAGTCATACAGGTTATAATTTTACAATGATACAAACTAGCATTATAATTTAGTCATACAGGTTATATGTGTACAATGCTATAAACTAACATTATAATTTAGTCATACAGCTTATAATTGTACAATGATACAAACTAACATTATAATTTAGTCATACAGCTTATAATTGACCAATGATACAAACTAGCATTTTAATTTAGTCATACAGCTTATAATTTTACATTGATACAAACTAACATTATAATTTAGTCATACAGCTTATAATTGTACAATAATATAAATTAACATTATAATTTAGTCATACAGCTTATAATTTTACATTGATACAAACTAACATTATAATTTAGTCATACAGGTTATATGTGTACAATGATACAAACTAACATTATAAGTTAGTCATACAGCTTATAATTTTACAATGATACAAACTAACATTATAATTTAGTCATACAGCTCAAAATTGTACAATAATATAAACTAACATTAAAATTTAGTCATACAGCTTATAATTTTACATTGATACAAACTAGCATTATAATTTAGTCATACAGGTTATAATTTTACAATGATACAAACTAGCATTATAATTTAGTCATACAGGTTATATGTGTACAATGATATAAACTAACATTATAATTTAGTCATACAGCTTATAATTTTACAATGATACAAACTAGCATTATAATTTAGTCATACAGGTTATAATTGTACAATAATATAAACTAACATCATAATTTAGTCATACAGCTTATAATTTTACAATGATATAAACTAACATTATAATTTAGTCATACAGCTTATAATTGTACAATAATATAAACAAACATTATAATTTAGTCATACAGCTCGAAATTGTACAATGATACAAACTAGCATTATAATTTAGTCATACAGCTTATAATTGTACAATAATATAATCTAACATTATAATTTAGTCATACAGCTCGAAATTGTACAATGATACAAACTAACATTATAATTTAGTCATACAGCTTATAATTTTACAATGATACAAACTAACATTATAATTTAGTCATACAGCTTATAATTGTACAATAATACAAACTAACATTATAATTTAGTCATACAGCTCAAAATTGTACAATGATACAAACTAGCATTATAATTTAGTCATACAGCTTATAATTTTACAATGATACAAACTAACATTATAATTTAGTCATACAGCTTATAATTGTACAATGATACAAACTAACATTATAATTTAGTCATACAGCTTATAATTGTACAATGATACAAACTAACATTATAATTTAGTCATACAGATTATATTGTACAATGATACAAACTAGCATTATAATTTAGTCATACAGCTTATAATTGTACAATGATACAAACTAACATTATAATTTAGTCATACAGCTCGAAATTGTACAATGATACAAACTAATATTATAATTTAGTCATACAGCTTATAAATGTACATCGATATAAACTAGCATTATAATTTAGTCATACAAGTTATTATTGCACAATGTTACAGACTAAGATTATAAAATTCAGTGCTAAAAGTTGTACAATGATTGAAACTGGTATTATAATTTAGTCATACAAGTTATTATTGCACAATGTTACAGACTAAGATTATAAAATTCAGTGCTAAAAGTTGTACAATGATTGAAACTGGTATTATAATTTAGTCATACAAGTTATATTTTTACGTTGATTCAGACTAGCAAGATTATTAAGTCATACATGTTATAACTGTACAATAAGTTAAACTAAAAAAGCTTTTTAATGACCAAAAAGGTTCAATAAGCCTTAGCCTTGAATCAAACATATGTACTGATGTTCAAAACTTAATATCCATCTTGACATCTTTTTTACAAATAAAACGGAAACTGTTGTAACATGTAGTGTCAAACCATAGATCGCCGGAGCTTTCCATAAAAGCACAATTCTGTCTAGTACCTCCATTGGGTTGACCGGTTGTAAACTTTCTGAAAATATAAACAATATCTACTTTTATAAAAATAAATTTTCTTTCTTATTTTCACGTTTGATGTTACATACTGATCATGAAAATCACAAACAGACTAGCGCGTATGTAAGTATAAAAAAGATTAATCCTTGTATATAGGTTTTATATTGGTATTCACAACTAAGTACACAATGGAATAAACGTCTAATCAATTACATACAGTCTGGAAATGGATCAGAACTTTTAACTTAGAAGCTATCGTCGCTTCCTTCTACTAATACATGGCAACATTTTCTACATGACAAGTGATTTCTTTACCACATGGTTTCGCATAGTTGAGAAAATAAAGGTGAATATAGCTTAGGCTTTTCAAAACAGCGCATTTTTATAGGAAGACCATTTAGTGTATGATTCACAAGAAAACAATTAATGTGCCTAATAAATTTTGAGTAGGCTACTGGATAAAAATAGCAAACCTTTCAGAAGTATAAAGTCGTGATTAAACTCTATCGACCATATATATAGTCAAATTTTATTTATTATGCTAAAATACTAAAATAATATTTAATAACTTCTACGGACTCTTTTTATGGAATCGATTTTCCTTACTTATCGATATATATTATCGTATCGACGGTTGAGAATAGACGATGAATCGATATCGCGACTTCCGATTGCAATTACGTATTAAATGACAAAATAAAGTTCATATTCAGTTTAACATTTAATGCTTAATTGTTTTGATAAACAGGTCATCACTAGTAATGATGCAAAAGTATTTAGATATTTTCAGTCTGTTAAAAAACATGAGCATAATGTCCATTATGTAAAAATCTACAAAATGATGTCGACATGTTTCCAAGGCAACCGTCATCGGAAATGAGTCAGAAACTGCGGACGTCTTAGCTGTAATAAGCGGTCACCTTTATATACCGTGTCTATGACTGACCGCAAGAAATTTTATTATAAGTACCCAGTCTATCGCATGACTGTTTAATATCATCAATCATATCGTAGATATTTTTTGTTACACATGTAATTGTATCTATAAAAAATCATTACTGCGGGAAACAAAGTAAAACAGTACAAGGTAAACTTTTACTAGTAAAATAATTATCAATTATTGAGTACCGCTCAAGTCGGTGTTAGGGGTCGTGAGGGATATTGCACATTTTTTATTATCCCTTATGTTCAGTCTCAATCAAACCGAGTTTGCAATTTTCATGTAATTATATTGTGATTAATGCTTGCGAGGGATCAATCTTTTCCTAGATTGTTATCAAATATACGTACGTGAATGATGCAGGTTGACCAGTTCTTTCTGATATCCAAGTACCCTCCTCCTTCTCGTCAGAATAACCGATCCATACATGACGATGACTTCTTTCTAACATATCGAAAAAAATATTCTCTGCTTCATTTTCACTGTCGGACAAGGTTGCTCCTAGACGCTTACAATGGACACGAGCTTCACTGAACGTTTTTATCTCATTCACATACAAATAACAATACGATAAATATTTTGTCCAGTCCGATGGGCATGTATAGTCATAGTTTATCAATTTTGCAGAAATTAAAACATTTAAAAGTTTAGCTTGAGTTTCTTTTAAAGTTTCTATTTCTCTCTGCTGGGCACTTATCAACTTCTCTGTGGTGTCACTCTTTAGAGACACTTCGTTCATATCTTTCACATTATTTGTGATTATTTCGTCCAGTTTGCTAATTTTTGTTTGGATTGTGTCATCAATTTTTGCATTGATCACTTCTAGATTGCTTTCCATTTCTTCTTTGTCATCTTTGAGTTCGTTTTTAAGCTCTGAGAAGTTCTGATTTAGCAGACCAGTTTGTTCATTCACTAGACCCGTAAGTTTTTCCACTTGATCTCTTGTCCATTGTTTCTCCCTATTAAGTCCTAAGGACACTAGTATTCGGCTTGACTTTAGAAGTTCAGCACGTTTTGTAGAACTAGTCTGCTTCTCTTTTCCTGTCTGTTGATGCAGTGTGGGACACATTTGATCCTTGAAATTTATCATAGAATTGTTAAGTTCATCGAAATCTTGTTGCAATGACACAAACATATCTTTTGCCAGTTCCTTGTCAGCACTTACTCGTGATTCAACAACGCTCATTCTTTTTTCGATTATATCAAATCTGTCTCTCCGTTTTGCATTCACCACTAAAACACATAATGATAAAAAACAGAGACTTTTCATTGCACTTCCCATTACATTATACATCGTTTTATATATGTTTACTTTAAAAAGTCTTAAAAATACAAATGTATAGTGAAACGTTTAATGTCTTAGAATAACAGCTTCTTATAAACTATCAAATACACTTTTGAGAAGAAATCAACTATGAGTTAGCGTTCGCAGTTCGGCAATGTTTGATGCTATCTGCTTTTTTAGATATATATCCTGGCAACATTACAGAATACCGTATTTCTCCTTAAAATCTCCCCATCACTACCCGGTCAGGACAATGCCCGCCATGTATTATTTATTTGAAACTTAATATTCATTTAAAACTAACATATTTTGCAAAGACAAAAAAGAAATAAACAGTTAATTGATGAAAGTAATTTTGCATATGTTGTATGTGTATAACTGCAGGTTTTAGACAATAAGAAAACGTCTAAATTTATTCTGGGCGTATATTACCAAAGTCGTAACATTGTCATCTACTTAAGACACTTGGAGTGAAGATAAGTTTAAACAGAATTTCAAAACGTTTTAAAATTATGATACTTTATGGAGCTTTTTTAAACGTTGTCAAAGTAGCGGAAAACAAGTTTTATGTTTAAGACACGTGACCATGCAGGTCGTAATAATATTCAAAAAATATTTTGACGTACGGTTTGCCAAAAAAAATAAAAATAAATAAAATAGCAATGGTGTATACAAGCTTGGATCAAGAAGAGGAGCCAAGTATCTGTATCATCTAAATAAATAAAATAAAATAAAACATATAGAACAGTGCGATGGGAAGGTGCTTATATTAGAAGATATACGGTTCTTGTTTGAGATACGTTAACATCACAGTATCTTACGGAAACTGGTTTGGAGCAATAATGTCGACTGTCGAAATGATGTTGCAACGTGACATAATGTAAAGTGTAAGCTGATATCTATATCACGTTTATAATTTTGATGCAACATTCAAATCTTGTATGGCATATAGTGCGTGGACCTGTATTACAATACCATGCATTACGTCGTGTCGTGCGTCGCGTGATTGTCGAATGAATATCTACATTAAATGTGGCACAAACTGGATATCGTAGCTTGGCTTTTTTATTTTTTACATTCACATCGTGGGAAAAGCATTCAAACAGAAACAACAGCCAATAAAAACAGCACATGTTTTGTCAGAACAGATATGAGATTTATTCATTTATCTCAGATTTCTCAGAAGAAGGTTAATAATTTTTTTCTTCTACCAATTTGTGGCAAGAACGCAAGTTTTCTTATACCAGTGCTTGTTTATGGAAAGCCATACCTGTCTGATATATTGTTCTTTTTCAATATGAATAATATGTTTGTTCACTTGGACAATATATGAATTAAAAACACTTTCTTATCAAACCGGAAACCATTATATAAATCCACAGTTACAATATGTGAAACCATGCATACAGTCAGTTTATGAAACCAAGGTAGCTTGATTTTCTCAATATATGATACTAATTCTTCTATTCTACTATATGATACTAAAGTAGCAATATATTGAACCAGATATCCTTATATGAATCCGAATTATCAATATATGAATTCATTTTTCAATATATAAATCATGTCGTCAATGTATGAAATCAAAGTATCAACATCTAAGTTGATTTTGGCAATACATGTATATGATACCAATTCTTCAATATATGGTGCCAAAGTAGCCATATATGGAACCAAATGTTCCATATATGAATCCGAATTATCAATATATTTTTTATTTATTTTCCAATATATAAAGTCATGTCAACAGTGTATGATATCTAAGTTGATATTTTGGCATTATATGATACCAATTCTTCAAAATATATGGTACCAACGTTGCCATGTATGGAACCAGATGTCCTTATTTGAAATTCATTTTCACAATGCATATTGTATATTGATGTGTCCCAGGTAGCAGGCATTAATCAATAGTTTAACTGTGAACTGTGTAATAATTACTTATTTAGAAAAACTTACCTACATGAACTTTCCTTTATCAGTAAGTTGAGAAATCCAGTACCAGTTGTTGACTTTAATTTGGCATAAAATGAAAAATGAACTGTGCATTGACTTTTAAACAACACACTTTAGCTCATTTAAACAGGTTATACCAATGGTATTAGCTGCTGGTACTTTATGTGTAAGAAATCCTTATCCGTGACACTTTAGCTGTAATTGTTTGTAAACAATCCTTTTAATCTTGACTTTAAGCTGTCATAATTCCTTAAATGTTTGTATTTTTATGTAAAGTCTGATTTCCTCAGTTGAAGAATGTAATTCTCTAACAAACTGCCAAGTAACTTTGTTAAAATCCACATATTTCACTGTATTTTCCTTCAAATGTAATTTTCATGTGTTGGAAATTTACTGGACGCCGCCATTTTGTACTTTGCATTATTGGCTATTTATAGCTGTTGCATCGGTTAGTTTCTGTAACCACTAAGTAGGCAGAGGATGTTCCGTTTTGGTACGCAAGAAATAACATCACAAAAGGTAGAGAATTTTTGGAAATAGTCATTATTGTATTTGCTTATAGCTCTATTATTGTAAAATTTTCCTCCATTAAAGTTAAGTTCAGTCCGATCAGTTTATGATCGTTTCCGATCATTTTTTTCTGACAGCCGTCAACCATTTTTGGTTGTTGATCGTTTTTCTACCATTCCAACCACTTTTGGGCTGTGGTTGGGCGTTTTCATATAAATACGGCGAAATCAGCCGTTTGAGTCAGTCAAGTCTTGTCTTTCTTAGAAGCAGCATTCCTTTACGCTGTCTTTGACTCTTAGAAAATTTGAAACATTAGAAATTTTGGCGGCCATTTAACTTATCGTATAAATTCGTCTGCGGTCTAGCGCCATTAATTTTAGTAAGCAAGATTCTTTATAGAAAGACGATTTATTTACAAGATACTCATTTTATAAGAATTTACATCATAATTTGTTACTGTCTCACATTATATAATTAATATTTATTGACTTTGAACATTATTTTTCTGCTGTTATTGATGAATGATATAAGCGGCTACGGTTCACTGACTTGCATATATTTTTATGGAACGCCGTTAACGTCTTGATTTAGTACGCGATAATATCAGTGAAATTTTGATTTAAATGCATCCTGTGCTGTACTATAGTAAATTATTCATAAGTATGATAAGTCAACAAACTCATAAGTTGTAATAACATCTTAATAACTGAATTCTGTGTGTATTTAATTACAAATGAACACTGCTCATCATTTTAGTTTTTTACTTTGAATAATTGTGACAGTTGCTGCTATAATAACTTATATATTATATTGTGTGTTGACATTTAATTATCTATACACAAAATAAATTTTGTTGAAGTGTTACATCTGATTTGTTCTACATTTTTAATATACATAAATTATCTGGTTCAACTGCTAGTAGAGGACTCATCTTCAAAGTATTTGCCTTATTAATTCGAACCATTAGTACAGTAACGTCCCTATAAGATTGCAAAAGAAAGCGCTACCAAATATAGATCAACAAACAATTCCTGCTAAAGCCCTGTACTGCCGGTGTAACATTAAATTTTGACCCTGTTGAGAAATGACCCTGAGGGTCATTTTTCAACGTTGATAATTGACCCTGGGTCATTTCTCAACGGTCACGGGTCAATTCTCAACGTTGAATTTTGACCCACCCATTAAATTTTGATCAGTAATGTGAAGGTATTGAAAAATGACCCCGGGACGTTGAAAAGTGACCCAAATTTTTTGATATTTGGAATGTAAGTTTTAAGGTTAAAGTGCATGGAGGTATGAAACGTCAAAAACGCATTAATGGGTAAACTTAAAGCCTGTTGGTGCGTCCGTCCGTTGTTTCCACAGATTGCATTACCTTTAAATCTAATTTATTGTTCTTTATGTGGGTAAAACAAATGAAAAATACAGTTCAGCAACATTTGGGGAATATATATTAAAATCGTGCAATAAAATCGAAGTATTTAAGTTATGAGACGTCGCATGAAACAGGTCATTAATGAACGAGCGTAAATGAGTCATTTTTATTTCGCTGACATTAAATGATATCTCTATACAGACGGCAAATGTCATAATTATGTGTCTGTCCCTTACTCTTATTCCATTTACGCAGCATCCTAAGTTGGGGCTTGATTTTTGTGTGTTTTGTTTTGTAGTTTAAAATTAATCTTATTTTTAATACATCGGTGAAAATTTAAGTGAAATATGTTATTTAAGGTTTGGAAAATTGAAGAAAGTATTTGGCACCCACCTTGTTTTAAGATTACCTTTACATAATGGTGTACCCCGTCTGTCAAATGGTGCCCAGCTTATCAACTGCAGCTATTCAATGATATTTAACCTACTTTACTCCGAGGACATCAATTCCAACCATTATTCCTTGATATATGAATCGAGAGTCTTACTCCCCTATAAACAAACATGAATTGTCCTTCGTACGGTGTACTGTTAGGGCCATCGCGTTTTCTCTGAGGACGGAAAACGCGAAACATGACAGTACGATGGTGACAGTACGACAATACGATGGTGACAGTACGACAGTACGATGGCGATGCACGACAGTACGATGGTGATAGTCCATCGTACTGTCGTAGTGTCACCATCGTACTGTCGTACTGTCACCATCGTACTGTCGTAGTGTCACCATCGTACTGTCGTAGTGTCACCATCGTACTGTCGCCTTCCGTTAGCGCATGAACGGCAGCCAAGATTCCTACCACTGCCTGCAAGCTCAGTCTGTCGAAGAAAACATTCAATGTGTAGTTTTTTCGTGGAAAATCCATAGGCTTGGAACCATAAAAGAATGTTTACTTGTAAGTAACTGTATCAGTGTGAACGGGCTGAACAAGCATTTTTAGTATTTACAGTAATTAGCATTTTTTCTGCATTGGCGTAGGCAGTTGGTTCGAATCCCATGCTAGGAGGTGTTATTTTGAAGCATCTTCAAAATATTTTTGACATGATAACCATAATTACATAGTAAATACTTCAATCTGTCATTGTCGTAGTAACGTGTTGAGTAACTCACTTTTTGTTGCCATTAAAATCTATAATTTCTAATCTTTTAGCCCGAATGAGCTAAAATTCCAACTTGTGTCCAGTCAGGTTAATTTGATGTGTATGAAATTAATACATAGTACTAACCACGCAAGGACGCCACTGTTAGCTAACGTTAAACATTTGGCTTATTCAAACTCGAATTGAATTTGCC